AGCTTCTGTTTTACTGTTTTATAAGATTTACAGTATATTTCCATATTTGATAAATGGCTGTAGGTTAGTTTCAATTTGAAATATATTGATAACGTATGCTTAAATGTTCTTATTCTTTAATTTGCTATCATCCTGTCCTAAAATATAAATAATGCAACTAGGTGTATTCAGTGACTGCTATAAAATATAAAGCTTGGATTCACAAAAGTCAATAATGTCATATATTTATATGCCTTGCTTTGAGAGAGATTATAACTTGTCAGTGTGACATTTGAATAAAAAAATGTTTACAGGCAGAAGACCTTTATAAAATATAAAATGCCGAGATATGATTAATGAGTCATATTAATATGCCTTTTTTGAAATGCTCATCTTTCTGTATTCCTTTTAATTGTCCCATTTTTAAACATTTTTCCCTTTGGCATACATTTTTTTCCTCTGCAAAATTGTAGGAATTTTGTTTTGAAAACTGTATTAAGTTAGTAATGGAGAAATTAACTTTAGCTTATTTCAGAAACAGTCCTACATATGTATGACATTTCTTGGAAGATACTCAGAAAACCTTTTTCTATTTTTCTGGGATTTCACCTCTAATTTGGAACTTGGAGAATATTCCTTGGCAAAGCTATATAATTGTCTTTGACACTGCAGTTATATTTTGTTATGAACAGCCCTAAAAAGTTCAAGTGGTTGATTTCTAATACCATCTGGCCATGTTGCACATAAATCTACAATTCAGTATTACACAATTTTTACTTACGTACCTACAACTATGTTTTAATTCATATTCTTTGAGAACAGTCAGTAAAAAAATATGCTGCAAGTTAGAAGTTTAGATCAATATTTTTAGTCATATGATTGCTAAACAGTGTGTATGTATCTATGTTTATTTGAATATACACATATCAAGAAATATAACATGTTACATTAAATTATATCAAGAAAGGAAATTCAACTGAGAATAATTCTTTATCCATAATACAACTATAACGCCACTTCAGAATTTCCCCCCCAAATCTATATTGATTCTATTCTTTCATATTTTGCCTTTCTGCTTTACAAAACCCCAAAAGAAGTCCTAAACATGTAGAAGGCTTTTATAAAGGACATGGTCATACATGCAGTGCCAGCAGTCTTCCTGATTTCTGCACATCCTGTGAGAACTCTAAAAGAATTATTTATTTGCATTTGTTTGAACTTGAGTAAAGGTTTCTGTAAAGTCCAGAACCTACAGCAGTTGTTTGTTGGGCCAATTGCTATTTTTGCAATTATGCAAATGCAAATACAGGTGAATGATGGGGATTAAGGACCAATACCTAGTCTGAAGACTTCATTGCAGGAAGAGAACATACAAGAAATTTGCTGAACCAAAACCTTATATGTCGCTAGATGCTTGTCGCAGGAATTGAACAGGTTTTTTTGCCTACATATTTTATAGTATACTATCTTTATCCAGTTTACTTTTAAATAGAATTTTAAAATTCTGTGCAGTAATATGTTTACCGTTAATTATAGTGTGAAATTATGAAAAGTGTACATTTCCATGTACACACTTTTGAACTATCTTATGTTAGAAAAGTCCAACCTTTAAAAAAAAATACATTTTCTATATAATTTATTTTTCATTCATCCATCAATTGTAAGTTGTACCCGAGGGCTCTGCATTTTTTTTTCTTTTTTTGAAAAAGGGAATTATTATAACAGTTTCCAAATTTGTGCAAATTACACAAAATTGTGCAATCCTTTTCAAATTTTCCAAATGATCCTTTCCAAATTTGTGCAATTGTTTTTCAGTGGCTTCCAGATCTTTCTGCATGTTTAAGGACAATCCGTGCCCTTGTAACTGGAAGCAGAACAGGGCAATTTCTGAATGCTGAGTTTTTAATAATTTGGAGAGAGGGATACTGATATGCACTTGCATGTACTGAGGACCTTGTTTCAGAGGATTTCCATAGCTATGCAATGCCTATCCTCCCATCAGTTATTTATAAAATATTCATGCAGTACTCATGGGGTTAAAGTGCAGGTAGATGTAGTATGAATTAGATGCAACAAATGCAAAGCAGCAACATGTTGCATTTAATAATAAAAGTTATAAGCTATTACTATATGGAGGAAGCAATGGTTTTAGTAATAGTTTATTACTGTTGCTTAAGTTAAGTATAATTACTGCTTCAAAACAGATTAATAAAAGGGACATTTAAAGGAGTCATTAAATATTTCATATCTGACTAATATGCAGAAACTGATTAACCAGGCAAAAAGGTGGAAATTTAGATAAATGAGGAATAATCTTAGTTTGTATGGACTGAAATATCATGAATATTTAAATATAGCAATATTTTTCAGATTTATAAAGGATAGAAGACAACACTATCGCTTTTAAAAATAATTTATCTAATCAAGGCTTCTGTTGTCCAAATTTTGAAAAGTGTTTCATGTGAATTGTTCAACTTTTTCATCATGTTACAGATCATAGAAAGAGAAAAACCTGACAAGTACAGGAAACTTCAAGATGCCAATAGATCATCTGAGGCCCTCGTAGAACAGATGGTGAATGGTAATTACATGGCAGTGGATTTATATAACTTTCTTAGTGGTTTTATAAAAACATAGGATTATATCATAGGAATTCTATCAGTGAATCACCTTATGAAGATTAAAACGGCTTAGTGTTACTTTTTATAATTTTATTCTATAGGTTAAATTTTAATTAACAAAAACATTAGGAATTTACCACCACAATTAAAGTGTGGTTCAAAATATTTCCAATACAGTCCACCTTTAACAAGATTAACAAGATGCTGTTCTTCCTCAGATACTCACTGTGTTGCATCTTAGTATTGGACTAAAATGAATTAGAATTTCATTTTTTAAAATAGATAAAATTTTGGAAATTATTTAAATAAACTTAGAATATTTATTCTTCACTTTGCTTCATTTTTTTCTTATTTTGAAAGTGTGTTCATCTGAGCACATGATGGTTTTATATAATTTGTAGTTCTGTCTTCATGGCTTATAGTGTATTGTATATTCATTTTTATTATTTTTAGGTTTTTTTTTACAAAACGTTATTTGCCTCTCTTTTTTTCCCTACTCATCTGCTGTCATTTTTAAGCATGTTTAGTATTTACACCTGTGCTCTCCCAATTTTGTGCATTTTTCTACTGATATTGAAAATACTGGAATGTGGTCCCCTAGCATTTAAAGACTCGTGCCAGCTTTTGATCAGATATTTTAGTATGATTTGTTTGTTTTATCTTTTCTAGGCCATTTATTTGCATTCTTTTTAAAAATCTTTCTAGAGCATTTAGTTTCTTTCACACAAAAATAAATATTAATCTAGTGGAGTTAAAAGAGCTATAAGCCTAGAATCTCTAGGTAGCCACAAGGGGACTAAATCCAACCCCCCTTGAATTCCATTGACCGTCATCTAGCTAGCACCAAGCATGTGCTAACAGTTAGTTGAAAAGATTCCTGAGCATAGCCTTTTTAGCACTAAATCAATTTAATTGGACCTTCACAGGCAGTCCTGGTCTTTTGCACCTGACAGTTTAACACAATACAAACACATAATTCATTGCTATTATTATAAGAGAAGAAAAATAAATGGTAATCTAATCTAATGATAATTTAATCATAGGACTGGAAGGGACCTTGGAGGTCTTCTAGTCCAACCCCTTGCTCAAGGCAAGAGACCTTATACTACCCTGGTCAAATGGTTATCCAATCTGTTTTTTAATATCTTAAGCACCCACAACTTCTGGAGACAAGCTATTCCATTGATTAATTGTTCTCACTGTCAGAAAGTGTTGGGTATCTCCTTAACCTCTTGTTCTTAACCCAGTATGTGGGCTCTGTGATCTGAGACTGAGATCTGGATGGGATGGCACTGCCCCGGAAAGACCCAATCTGCAACTTGGGGGTTCTCCTGAACTCACAACTCCTTGAAGAGCATTCGGAAGCTATAGCTGGTGCAGAATGTGGCAGCATGGGTAATTTTGGGCCCCCCAAGGATGGCCCCTGTAACACCACTGCTCCAAGAGCTGCACTGGTTACCAATCTGCTTCTGGGTGCAATTCAAGATGTTGTTGATCACCTTTAAAGCCTTTCATGGCATGGATCCAAGTTACTTGAGGGACTGTCTCACCCCACTGGGACTGGCCTGTGCCACTCGTGCTGGCAGAGGAGGCATGCTATGGGTCCCATCAGCCTGAGTATTCCAGATGGTGGGGTCCAGGAGGAGGGTCTTCTCTGCTGTTGCTCCTGCCCTCTGAAACATCTTGCCCTCTGTTGTGAGGTTGGCCACAATCCTCCTATATTTTTGTTAGGGTTTTTTTTAATGTTTTATTGATTTTTAACAATTTCAATCTTTAGTGCTTGGTAAACAATGTGTTGTCTGCATTCACATATTTAACATTAAATTCTTCAATATAAATCTGTTCAGTGCTGCACAATCCAGTATTTTTTCCCTGATCCTCCTTTCTTTCCCATATTTTTTTCTGTTTTTCCCTCATTATACAATTACAATTCTTGGTACTGTTGATGCATACAAAGTTAAATATAAACATCCTCATCATATTTTACTAATGTTATACAAATAATAATATCAATTCATAAATCAATATCCTGTTTTTCATACTCTGGTTAAAGATTGATTTCCCATCAATATTTGATATATCTTTGTCAATTATGATTTTCTCAATATTAATTACATTTATATAGCTAAGAATTTTATTCATACCAGCCATCCTCTTACTTCATATTTCCTATATCAAAAAAAGAATTTTTTTAATTCTAAATCATATCTTTCATTATGAAAATCTAATTATATCTAAGGGTCATCCGCTCTTTTAATTTCCTCTGCTTCATCTTCTGATTTCTGATTTTTTTGTTCATACTTTGTAATTGTCTGGAAATTTTCTAATTGTAGATTTAATTTGAAGATTTACTCATTTATATTAGCTAAATTGTTTTTAGTCTCATTATGGTTTCTTTTTGTGTCCTCTTTGTGTGCAACAATTGTTTGGTGGATTAGTTGTAGCACAGAGTGTATTTCCTTCTGAAAGGTATTTATTTTTTCTTGAGGCATCATTCCTGGAGATCCTTGGTTAGCTTGGGTGGGGCTTCAAATGGAGGTGCAATGTAAATTTTCTTACCATTTTTAGCTGAGTGTAAAACATCCATTTTATTTTCCCCCTCCAAATAATCTTTTTGTAGTGATCCTTTGTCTCAGGCATCCAAGAATTGTTGGTCAGGCAAGGTTGTAATCCACAATGTTCAAAGTGTTCAAAATGTTCAACCACTTTGAAAACAGTTTAAAGGTCCCTCCCAGCCAGATGTAGTCAAAAGTCAATTTTTTTCTTTCTCTCTCAATAGTTCTTGAGATTAAAAGTCCAAGCTCAATAGGTGTTTATAGTCCAAGAAGGTCAGGGTGATAAGTATGCCAAAATATTTTCCTTTATTGCCAGCTGTTCTCCATTAAGCTAGGAGTCACCAAGCAGCCAGGAAACTAGTTGTAGTGCTCAAATCCACCACTAGATGTCATTCAAAATCCATTTTCCAGTCTTAAGACAAAGGGTTGATTTCTCATATTTCACCTCAATGGTTTTTTTTCCAAAGAGAAAATCTTAACAGTTATCTCAGTTCTTAAATTTATCAAAACTGTAACTTTTTGTTACTTCCATTTCAGTATTATATATTTCTGTCCCCCATAAAAGAAATTAAAATGCCACTTCCATTCCTCTGGAAGGGTGGGGCTATAGTCCCCTTCTTTCTCACGTTCAGAGGTTATTAGCTTCTTGGGAGCCTTTCCCAGGAAATTCAGTTGTAGAATAATAAAGAAAGGATCAATATTCTCACCCAGTTCCAAACATACTGTTTATGATCTGCTAATTGGTGCTTTTTTTCTTCTTCGGTTGTCAGTGGCTAATGGCTGGCCACAAGAATGTAGCCTCTCTTTCCCCTGCCGGTTTGGAGGACTTTCCTTGGATCAAACAGAAAGACCGCTGTCTCTCCATGATTGATGAGGCACCCCTCCTTCTTCATCGCCTCTTCGGGGGGACTTTAGGTGCTTTTAGGACCCCCGGCAGGGCAAAATCGGGTGCAGAAGGCAGAGCCCTGCCTTCCTGCATCTGTTTCACCATGATGCAAATCCTCCTGTCTTTTTGTAAGTGCCTAAAAAGTGGCTGTGCCAATCTGCTTGGGGCCCCAGTGGGGGATCAGCACAATGGAGGTGATTGATTAATAACTAAGATGTAACTGTAAGCAGGTCAGAGTTACTCTATAGTAAGATGGCCAGCCATAAATTTTGTAAATAAAAATTATAAATAATATTTCTTGTCCTGCCCTATCGTGCTTTGGAGAATAAGTCAAATCCTCTTCTCAATAACAATCTCTCAAGTACTGGAAGACAGTTATCATGTGCCCCCAATCTTTCTCTTTGATAGGCTAGACATACCTAACTCCAACAAATCCAAACCAATACAATGCAGTATAAATAAATGATGAAATTTCTTCCACTGAATGATTCAATAACAGTTTCTGGCAAGTTTGTCTGATTTGCAAGTCTGCACAGTAGAAATTCTGGGAATCTTCCTCCAAACACTTCCTAGTAAGGAAGAACATTAGGCTAGTCACATTTGCAATTATGTCTAGGGCATATTGCCAAATTATCTGCTTACTGAAATCAGTGTAGCTCATTTAGGGCAAGTTGTTGTTTTTCAAATAAAGGTCTTTGAATTGATTATGTTGAGAAGCACCATACTAAATACTAAATTAATTTGCCATATACACATGAGGTATCACTATTCATTCTATGTTGTCAGTAAAAACAGCATAAGTCAACTTTAATCACATTGTTCTATACTGAATGTATAGTAATAATATGATTCACAAATAAGCTAGCGAACAGTTAACAACTATTTGTTATGCACAGGATGTAGCAATAACATGAATAAGGCACTTTGGATACTGATCTCTCAGTCCTGTGGAATAACATGTATTTATATACTGCCAGTATAAGAGATTGTTTTGAATATAAAGTAGAAAACAATTTATGAGCCATTAACCTCAAAATTATAATATATTACCTCAGAATTAGTTTTATTAGTCACCATTCCTACTACTGATGTAGCAGTTATCTACATGGTTAACAGTGGAGGTAGGTCCTTTCCCAAATCTGGAATTCATAAAGGACTCATTTGTTAAAATGTAAAATAAAATTAAGCTCATTATATAATAAAATTTGTGCTAATTATGAAATTATAGTGTTACACTATTTGTTGGACCAAATGCCTTTTGCTAATGAAAAAGTGGGTGAACTTCCTCAAATCTTTTATAGGACACTAATGTTTTGGAATATTCTTTTATGACTGTTCACTGTTTAATGGCTGTATTTAGAGATACACAGGTGTAGAATGTATGAATTCACATTAAATATAACACACCTTTTTAAACCAAAAGATTTTGAAATTGTCCTTCAGACCCTTAATACCTAGCCAGCTCTTATAGATATCACCAGAGGGCTTCTGATATGTCAGCATTTATTCTGTTACAAACCATTTATTGTTCCTTGTTGGGATCCCATGATCTGGAATGGTTTTTATTTGGATGCATGAGCTTTTTGTTGAATCTGTTTCCTATTTGATGTTCTGTCTCTGAGTCATTTGATTAATGGTTTGTAAGTATGAATGTATCAATCATATTTTAATTTATATGGTATGTTAAACTTTAAATTAAGCTGAAGTACCTTCAAAAAGGTAATATGTGATAATTTATGGCCTTATTTTCCATTTTCCTCCTAAATATGTGAATGCTTGTTTTATGTACTAACATACATACACACACACAGTTTGTGTGTGTGTGTATACGTGTGTGTGTATACGTGTGTGTGTGTGTGTGTGTGATGTGTTTGAATACTAGTAGTTTGGGTTAGTAGCTGGGCTATTGGTTTGATCTCCGGGCTTGGTGTGTATGTGTGTATCAAGTTCATTTTTGTAATGATAAATTTTGTTCTTTTTTATGAATCTTCTAATTCAGATACAGAGTTATTAAATGTCTTTCTTTACTTTTCTGTGTCCACAATAAACTAAAAATAAATGTGCTCAACTCTTTCCTTCCTTTTTTTTCAGATGGGCTTAATGCCGACAACATCAAACAGGCTTCAGAGCAGTTGAACAACCGGTGGATTGAGTTCTGTCAGTTACTGAGTGAAAGACTGGCATGGCTGGAGTACCAAAACAACATCATTGCCTTCCACTCTCAGCTGCAGCAATTGGAGCAGACAGTAATTACTGTTGAAAATTGGATGAAAGCACAGCTCTTACCAGCAGCAGCAGATCATGATGTAGTGAAAGCACAGTTAGATAGGTGTAAGGTTAGAAATTCTGTCCTAATCTTTGTGGTATTCTGTTGCACACATATTGTTTCATTATTTTGGGTCCCTGTTCTTCATGAAAGCATCTATGACATTCACTTGTCTTGATAATCTTATAAAAGGGAGAAAAAGATATATGAGCTTGTTCACATACGAAACTGCCAAGATACAAATGTTTGAAGAACGTTTTGATCATTGCCAGGAGCTGTACATCTTACACATGAGTAACTGAAGCACATTTGAAAGTATTGGGTGGGAATTAGGCTATAGTAGCCTGGATGGAACACATGGAAATATTTCTGTTGTACATGCAAAATCAAATGAAAGGCTAAAAGGAAAGTTGTGATTATGAATTTTCTTATGGTGTTTAAATTGTCATTAAAACAGTAGAATGTTTTAATATATCTCAATTTCTACTCACTGGAGAGTAGTAGCAAAAGGACTTAAATAATATTTAATAGTAAGTAAACAACAACAACAACAACAACAACAACAACAACAACAACAATAATAATAATAATAATAATAATAATAATAATAATAATAATAATAATAATAATAATAATAANGTCACGAAGCTTCTCCTTAGTTCTAGATTGCTTCTCTCCTTGATTAGTTTCCATCTGTTGCTTCTTGTACTGCCTTCAGGTGCTTTGGAGAATAGCTAGACTCCCTCTTCTTTGTGGCAGCCCCTAAGATATTGGAACACTGCTATCATGTCCCCCCTCGTCCTTCTCTTCATTAAACTAGACATACCCAATTCCAGCAACCGTTCCTTATATGTTTTAGCCTCCAGTCCCCTAATCATCTTTATTGCTCTTCTCTGTACTCTTTCTAGAGTCTCAACATCTTTTTTACATTGTGGTGACCAAAACTGGATGCAGTATTCCAAGTGTGGCCTTACCAAGGCATTGTAAAGTGGTATTAATACTTCACGTGATCTTGATTCTATCCCTCTGTTAATGCAGCATAGCACTGTGTTGGCTTTTTTGGCAGCTGCAGCACACTGCTGGCTCATATTAAAGTGATTGTCCACTAGGACTCCGAGATCCCTCTCACAGTTACTACTATTGAGCAAGGTACCCCCTATACTATACCTGTACATTTGGTTTTTCTTGTAAAGTACAGTGATGACTAGCCTCACATAGCTCCCGAGATCATTCATCATATTCATATACAGTAGCTGTAATGTTTTGATGATAGTGGTTATGATAATAAAGGTTATTTTCATCTTTTATTGCAAAAATAAAATTTAAGAAACTTTTGTAAAAATATTTTTAAAAATTAAAACTTTTTTTTAAAAAAAGCAGTACTAGTTTGGTTTCCTAAGTCATTTTCAACTCCTAGATGGATAGATTTTCTACATGACAATCACTCTCTGATCTGTTTTTTAAAGCTTCCCAATGCTGCGGTCATTATAATCAATCAATTCACCTTGCTATTGGTCATCCTCATCGTCACTTAACTTCTACCTTTCCCAGCATTAGAGCTTTTGCCAAAGAGCTGGATCTCCGTATAATGTATCTAAAGAAGGACAATTTGAGCCTTTACCTTGAAATCTCTATTGAATTGTTCGATGATCCATCAGTTTGTTTTATTGTCCTCAATATTCTTAGGTGTCTTGTTTAACATCAAAGTTCAAAGTCATCAGTACTTTTCTTATCCCAATTCTTTAAACTTCAACTTTTGTTTCCATAGAATGTCACAGAGAATTCCATGGCTTGCACAATGCTGGTCTTTGTATGCATAGAATGTGTTTTTCAAATATTTCATACAGTAGCTATCCTACCAAGTGCTAGTCTGCAGCGTTACCTCTTGACTACTGGCTTCTTTACTGTTGATAGTTAATCGTAAAAGACAAAGACACTTTGATATCTTCAATGTTAATACTCAGGCTGGTTGTTCTGCCTGTTGTCATTAGTTTGGTCGTCTTTATATTTAATTTTAGTCCCGTGTTTTTTTTCACTGTGCACTTTGACTTTTAGCATGAGGGCTTGCAAATCAAGAATAGTGCCATCAGCATAGCACATAATTGTTATCGATTTTTGTTAGGAAGCAATAACCATCAATAAACTAAAACAAACATGAAATACTATTTAAGAGTCTAAATTTATATGTTACCTTGAGAGAGAGAGATTTTAAATATCAATATTAAATATTTATGCCCTTACCTTCCCAAAAGTTTGTAGAGGCGGATAATGTCTTAGGGAAACATTATTAATATATTTACAGATGCCAAGCAAATTTGATTGAATTATTATTTCCGTTATTAAGAAGCTCTTTTTAAAGCTTTTTATTGCTGAATTAATCTTTTGGTTTTGCACATCGAAATATTAATGATGTAATAGATTTGAAGATGGCCACTCACTAGGGGCCCTGTGGATTTTCACGGTAGAGACCCCTGCTGTCTTCTCCTCCTTTCTGAGTGAAGAAAGAGGCATTCTAGGCTATTGATTCCCAAGAATCTGTCAGAAGAGCATTTTTCTTGGGGGAATTCTCCTGAGGGATGAACCCACAGAATCTTCAGGATTGTTCTATTTACCACGGGAATGTAAAACTGGTCAGAGTCACCCACACTTTCAGGTTTTAATTTAATTTCATTTTCTTTCTTATCATAACTTCTGAATTTATTAATTGCTTCTTTCTGAATCTCCAGCTGAAACTTTCCAGACTAGGATTTATGACTCTCTTTCCAGTTTTGGGAGCATTGCTTATGTAACTAATTTTTTTGTGCTGACTTTTATATATTTCATTTTTATTGTTTGAAGTTTTCATCCTTTTGTATCAATAAAAACTTTGAAGTGCATATTTTACTGACAAGAGTAATTATTGAAAATGACAGTTAATTTGAACAAAGGAAAGGGGTTTTTTTATGTTTATAATTTTGCTTTTTCTAAAAAAGATTTCTTTGATATAAAACTCATTTTTAATGCAACTGTACAGCTGAGAATTCAAATGGAGACATTTGCTTCTAAATATATTTTGCTTGTTTTAACAAAAAATATATTCTTTGAATCATTTGAACAATTTGACCTGTTTCCTTAATTCCCTTATTATTTTTTCTTTAACCCACCAGAGGGAGCTTCAACATTAGGAATGTTTACTTGAAAGTCAAAAGTCACATTTTTAAAAAAAATGTGAACCAGTTATTTTTTTTTACCAGCTTAGTATGATTAGAACTTGCTTTATATCCTTTTCTCTCATTATTTGGTTACTCATACTTTATATCATTTAAATATTGTTTGTTTATTTATTAATCAATGCTATAATTTATTTTGGTTCAATATGAATAGAAATTTTAGTCATAAAATTACTTTTTTGCTTTAAAAATGAGCAGAAGAAAACATGGAGGAGAAGAATCGAAACTGGAAGAAGGACTTTTCTGCTTCATTTTAAAGAATTTCAGTAATTAAAGTTAAGAATTAATTTAAAGGAATTTTCATAAAATAGAAGATCATCTTCTAAATTAATTCAAGAAGCACTACAAGATCTAGAAGCAAAACTGGACTGCCAAAAGACTGATATCAACAACATATATGATAAATTAATAATTCAAATAGAATAAAGAATTAAATAATTGCAAATAACAGATCTGTAATTGTCTTCAATTGATAGACAGAACTGAACAAGTTGGAAGCTAGACTACAATTTACAGAAACAGAACTTTGGCATGGTTGTGGGGTGTGTACTTTGAGGAACATAAGAACCGTGTCAGAGATTCAAGTCTGGGCCAGTCCCATTAGAGGAGCCAGATGAAGAGTGTTTTTCCCATAAATAATATAGTAAGACATAATTTACAGAAACTCATACTGGACTGATCATTGCCCAAGTCAAAAAGGACCACAGTAGGTATTAGAGTTCCTTGACAACTATGATAAATGGGCTACAGCAGGGGTCCTCAACCCCCAGGTTGTGGCCCATTGGGAACTGGGCTGCGCAAGCGGCGAGTAAGCACATGAGCAAGCAAGATTGCATTTGTGCAAGCAGTGCATGCATGCACAAAACTATCCCCTCTTCCCCCTCACTGCTGTTGCCAGTCCACAAAGCCAGAAAGGTTGGGGACCACTGGCTATAGGACTTAAGACTATCAAAAGAAAAGTTGTTTACCCATTGCAAATATACCAAGAGTGAAAACAAAGAAATTATGAACTTTTATTACCAACCAAGTCCAACAAGAAGAGGATAACAGACCAGAATGTAGCATTTCTGGAAAGAACAACATCCAGAATCAAAAATAGCAGAAAAAAGGCTAGTAGATCAATGTCGATTTATAGTATGGAATAAAGCATTCATAAAAGCAAGACTTGGAAGAACTGCAAAGGTCCAACCAGGGCAAAGAAATTGAAGCCTTGCCAAAGTAACTCATATTGCACAGCCAAACCAGGGGAAATCAGTATTAAAGGAAGCTAGCATAACTATTAAATCATTTTCATTCCCAAACCAGGCACCCTCTCCTCTGCTCTCTCCTCAGAAAGATAAAAGCCCTCTATCTAAAGAAGAAATATTGAAACATCTAGGACAGCACAAAAACAACAGAAGAATGTTTCTTGCATTGAAGCTGGTTCCAAAGAAACAGCCAAAGTTGTAATATCAAATATAAGCACTAGCTCATGCAAGAAACAAACCAACTAATGTACAGCACAGCTGCAATTATAACTGAATACTGTGAATACAAAATCAACAAACAAGAAAAAACAAACAGCGCACTACAAAATAGAAGATCAGACTGGAAAATAAATCCACCTTCTCAGATCAGATACAAGCAAGTTAGAACAGGTGAAAGAAAAGAAGCTGAAGAATAAGAAGACCAAGAATACCTAATCAAGAAATATCACCTAGATACAAGATGATTAAGGAAGTACTGGAAACAATAAAGCAACAAATAACAGAAGATTAGCAGATGCAAAGCCCAAATTGCAAACTATTGGCAGAATCTTCAATCTCAGTCAAAACAAAAACATTTGTACCAATCCATCACTGGAGAGAATGCAGTGCACAAGTCAAGATTTGACAAAGAAAAAACAATGCAGTTCTGGGCACAACTATGGGACAACACAAAAAATACAACAAAAATGCAGCTTGAATAAAGGAGGTAGTTAACAATAAAAAGTGTTGAAATTAAAGAACTTGCAATAACAGCAGAAATTGTGGAGAAAAGAGCAAAAAAAATCAAGAATTGGTCAGCATCAGGTGAAGATGAGCTTCATGGTTGAAATATCTGTCTGGTCTGCTCTTATTCATTGTCAAGCAGTTTAGCAAAATACAGCAAGGAGGTGAAATTGAAGATTGGTTAAATCTGGTAAAACCTTCCTGATAATGAAAGATCCAACAAAACTAGCAGCAGCAGACAACTCAGACCAATTATTAAGGAGAAATTTCCTGACAGTTAGAACAATTAATTAGTGCAACGACTTGCCTCCAGAAGTTGTGGGTGCTCCAGCACTGGAAGTTTTTAAGAGATTTGACAATCATTTGTCTAAAATGGTATAGGGTTTCCTGACTGAGCAGGTGATTGGACTGGAAGACCTCCAAGGTCCCTTCCAACTCTTGTTATTCTGTTAAAAATAATTAGTACATAACTTTACCTTGGGTATGTGTCCAGTCTATTACCTATCATTCATGAATCCTAAGAAAATTCATTTAAGAACAACATTCCAATTATAAAGAAACACTTCAATTATCTGATGTATAATGAAAGAACTGTATGGATTTCGAAGCCCAATATACAAGCATATATCCAGTTTTGCAGCTGATGAGTATTAGAAGTTAATATAAGTAATGTACCTCTATAAAACAAATATTGAGTAGAACATTGCTATTAAATAAAAATCATACAAATTTATAATTGAAATGTCAGCATAAATAGCAGTTCATAAAGACAATTTATTTCACCAATATCACTTTTTGGCAGGATGAAGTGGTCCGCTTGTCAAGCATTCAACCTCAGATAGAAAAACTGAAGGCACAAGGCAAAGCACTAAAAGAGAACCAGCAGTGTCCAGTGTTTTTGGAAGCAGATCTTGTTGCCTTTACTAATCATTTCACTCATGTGTATGATGATTTGAAAGCTAGAGAAAAGCAGCTGCAAACAAGTAAGTGCTGATACTAATTATTTCCAACAAATAGCTTAGAACCAAAACCAGTTTGGAAGGTCATATATATTTAGCTATAAAACAAAAAATCAATGGTCTGAAGCTAATCATAATTTTTACTCTTTTTCTATCCTTCTTCTGTACAAGTGCAGTATATATGCAAAACAAAATGTAAATTTTGTTTATTCAGAATTGATTTGGACTTTGATTCAAAATGCTGATTGTACATTGCCTATGGAAAAATGGCGATCAAATTTAATGTTAAATATAACTAGGGTTGCATTATGTCAGAGTGAATGTTTATTATAAAGAATAAACCAGTATAAAACTTACTTTACCTCAAAATGCCAGTAATTAGAGTTACCTAAAGGTATAAGTGCAATTGCTGGTGAAGTTTTTTGCTTTATATCTTAAATTTGCACAGAATTATCAGAGGCTGTAATACTTGTACTCAATACACATTTTTCATATTTTAATATGCCACATGCTTACTACAAGCAACAGTTGAAGAATTCTTTTAATAATTCTTTCTAGATCCTATATAATCCTCATAGGCATTCTTAAAAATAATATATATATATATCTGGCTGCCAACATCGGTGTCATGTAAAGAGTTGTATGTTGGATAAAAATAAACTTGAATTTCTATATAATTAAAAAAATTGTTTTTCAACTTGACTAAATAACTATAGCTGGGGTTTTAAATATCATATTGCAACAGGAGTTGATGATTATCTTTGCTTTGACTCAATAAAATCTGTCAGCAGTACTTCTAAAATGTCTCTTAATTAGTAGAGAGATAAGATTGAATATGATTCTGTATGCTTCTTGCGTAAAATTGTTTTACAGAGATTTATCAAAATATTAGTAAATTTGTATTAATTCTGACTACTGTGGCACTGTGGGATTTTGATTATACTTTTTAAATTGAATTAAATTGGTTGTTTTAGTTTGCATTTACTTTTTTAAGAAAATAATTTACATTTCAGTGATTTGATTTTAAATTAATATATTTCAATTATTATTTGTGCTGTTTATTAAACTGGGTTTTTTTTTAAAAAAAAGTATAGTTATGTGTTTGCGTGTACCCCTCTGGATGATATATCTTGCACTCTTCTGGAGCTCCTTTTTCATTATGTTGAAGTATTGGGTAACTAGATTTTGTCAGTAACATACATTTAGGTCTTCTCCCATCCATAGTTTCCTCATACATTTCTTACTTCATGTCTCATTAGTTCTTTTTTTAAAAATATATATTAATTTTCTATTACAAGTCATATGTAAACAACGTATTGTCTGTGTCCATTTGTTACTCAGTCATACATATTAACTTCCTCAACATAGATCTGTCCAATACTATATAGGCTGGTGTTTTCTACATCCTCTCTTCTTCCAATGGTGTTTTCATCTTTCCAACACGGAGCAAATACAAATCTTACTACTATTAATACATGCAAAGTTAAGTACGCACATCCTCATCATAATTTTCTAGCATTATACATAATAAAAATAGTATCAGTTTGTAACATCTCTTCTAACCCACTCATGTCTTAGTTGTATTTGCAATTAAAGTCCCCTTGTTAAGTCAATATCCTGTTTTTCCAGCTCTTATTTAGCTTTAATTTCCCTTTAGTATTCAAAGCATCTTTATCAATTATAATTTTCTCAATGTTAGTTACATTTGGGTGACCAAAAGCTCCACTTATACAAACCATCCTAGTATTTTCATATTTCCTATCATAAAGAAATGAGCTATCCTAATTATAAATCATATCTTTCTAATTATAAAAATATTTTTATATCGAAAGGTTATCTGTTCTTTTAGCCATATTCGAACACAAGTTTATTCATATGATGTCCCATCTGGTAAGTCAGATCTTCTATTTTCTTCAGTCTAACTCTGGCTTTCTTCCTTTTCCAAATAACTTTCCAAGTCAATGTATTTAGGTCACCAAAGGATTTTTCCTCTGTTTTTATGGGTATTATTTGAAATAGGAAAGACAATTTGGGTAAAGTATTTTTGAGGGGGAGTTCAACCCATTTATATTCATTAAACAACTCCCACTTTCCTTCTCCTCCTTCAGCTTTTCTTTTCATTTTGTGTTTTCTAATTTCTAACATTTCACCTATAGTCCATTCAATATGATCTTCCTTGTCCTCAGGTATATTTTGAGGTTTAAGAAATAGGATATCTTTTCCATTTCCAATATTATGGTTAAGTCTTCCAGATTTTTATTTTATTTTCCTTTGATTTGTCTTCTGTTTTCTAACTTGCTTGCTCATTCTTTATAGTCATTTTCTGAGAGTTTACTAGTTGTAGGTTTAAGTTAAAGATTTGCTCATTTATATTGTCGAACCTATTTTTAGTCTCATCATAGACTCTTCTTGAGTCTTCTTTATGTGAAATAATTGCCTCTTGAATTGATTGCAGCATAGACCACATTTCCTTCTGCAAAATATTGGCTTTTTCTTGTTGGAGCATCACTCCTACAGTTCCCTGATATAACAAGCTGGGGGTTTCAGAGGAAGATATTGGGGATGATTTTTTCCCACTTTTAGCTAGGTATGAAACACCCATTTTGTTTCTCCCTTCCAGATATACTACTGTATTTCCCAAGTATTGGCCTTAACTGGCACAACCAATCTTAAAATCAATAGAGCAATACAGCAGTGTCTCATAAAATTCTTATAGTGTTTATGTATAGCTTTTATAATCCAATAGGTCCCAAAATATAGGTCCACCACTAAAGGTAATATTTTGTAACAGTTCTTCTATTCAGGAGTTCAAAAATTATCAGTCAACCGATGTTTGTAACCCAAAATGTTCATCCATCCTTAAAAACAGACCACAAGTCTCTCCCAGACAAAAGTAGCCAAAGATCAAATTTTCCTTTCACTCCAAATAGTTCTTAAAATTAAAATTCAGACTTCTGTCAATATTTGTAATCCAAGAAGGTCAGCAGGTTTCAAAACAATTATAGCTCCCACCCTGTAGAAAATAGCCCAAAGTACTTTTCTCCATTGCTCTCTGTTGAATTAAGAGTCATCAAACATCAAAGAGACTCAATAGTTATCTAAGTCTGGGCATTCTGCCAAGTTCACTCCAGGCATAACAACTATGGCGCTATACTCTGTTCCACCACTAGATGTCATTAAATATCCATTTTGCAACGCTTAAAATGAAAAGTTAATTTCGTGTACTTCACCCCAATATTCTTTCAAAGAGAAAATCTTAACAGTTTTCTCAGTTTTCAAGTTTGTCAAGGCTATGACTTTGTATTACTTCCATTTTGGTGTTATATACTTCTGTCCCCCATAAAGAATTAAAATGCCACTTCCATTCTCTGGAAGGGTAGGGCAGCAATTGCTTTTCTTCTCATGTTTGGGGTTTTATTTTTCTTCTTGGGAATTTGTCTTTTCCAGGAAATCCAGTTGCAAAATAGTAAAGAAAGGATCGATATTCTCACCCAGTTCCAACACACTGTTTACGATCTGCTAATTAGTGCTTTCTTTCTTCGGTTGTCAGTGGCTTCAGACTGGCCACAGGAATGCAGCCAGTCTTTCCCCTGCCAGTTTGAAGGGCTTTCCTCAGATCAAATGGATTGACTGCCATCTCTCTGTGATCAACGAGAGTCCCCTCCTTCTTCATCGCCTCTCTGGGGCAACTTTAGACTCCTTTAGGGCCCCCTGGCAGGGCGAAATCAGCCGTGGGAGAGCAGAGCTCTATTTCCCTTGGCTGCAATGCTATGACGCAAACCGGAAGTCCCTCCTCTCAATAGAATAGAATAGAATAGAGCTGGAAGGGACCTTGGAGGCCTTATAGTCCAGCCCCCTGCTCAAGCAGGAGAACCTATACCATGTCAGACAAGTGATTGTCTAGTCTTTTCTTAAAAATTTCCAGTGATGGCGCGCCCACGATTTCTGGAGGCAAGCTGTTCCACTGGTGAATTTTCCTCACTGTCTCCTTAATTCCAGGTTGTTTCTCTCTTTGATAACCAATGCTTTGGTGAATAACGTTACCCCCTGTTCTTTGTGGCAACCCCTCAAATACTGGAATAGTGCTATCATGTCTCTCCTATTTCTTCTTTTCTTTAGACTAGCCAAACCCAGGTCCTGCAGCAATTCTTCATATGTTTTAGTCTCCAGGCTTTTGATTAGTTCTTGTACTAGTATTCCATTAATTGCACATTTTCTTATCTCATCCATGCATGATTGCTTCCAGCAGCCAACCTCTAGTCAGATTGACCTGGTTCCCTAACATCTGACACATAACTTGTTAATCCAGGTAATGTCCAAAGTGGCATGATTCTCTTTGTTTGTATCATCCTCATAACTACGTTATGCAGGTGAAGCATTAGGGAGCCTTTTCCCAAGACCGCTACTGACATGGTACAACTGATTCAAACCCCAGTCTCCCATGTCAAAGGCCAATCTCTCATATCAAAAAGTACAAGGTTCTAACCACTGTACTATCCAGCCACTATTAATTGTGGTCTTTATATGCACACATACATATACACAGATGGATAGACAGATGCATGCACACACACACACAATGCACTTGGAAGATTCCTTACAACAATGACCCAAGATACTTGGAACGCATAGCTGTAGAGCTAACTGATTCATATTAACTTTTAAAGTATGTCAATTATTGAATACTGCTAATCTTACTAGGAAAACTAGGAAAACTAGAACATTCTGCAAAAATGAACTTTTCTTAAGAATGTATGTGAAATTTAATAAATTGTGTTTCTGGATTATTTGGTGATATTTCTTTTATAATTAATATTAATGGCTTTTATTTAAAAAAAACCCTAGATTTCACAGTTTTGTTTTCAGTTTCTATCAGCATCACCTTTGGCTAGCTACAAAACATATCCCATTGCTGTTCATGGCAAAATTCCATTTAATTTAAATGCTTCTGAATTTTTAAATCTAACTTACTTAAGACATCTGTAATGCCATTCTAATGGGGACAATTCAGTAAAATGCTAGTT